TAGAATTAACGTAAAATTGTTATTTCCAAAATGTAGCTTTTCATATTAAAAAATTAGCTGTAACGATGTCGGATCGGCACAGAGCTAAGCGTACATTCAAATCAGGTTTTGAAAAGAGAAAAAAAAAAAAAAATAGAAAACAGATGGAAAGCTTATATCTCAAACTCATAAGACGACAGACTTTTTTAAGACAAGACTAGATGTAGCTGTAACATCGAATTTATCGATTGCGAATGAAAGTAGCCAAGTAACTGTGAGTAATAAGATATTTTTAATGCTCTTCTACAAAAATAAAATCCCAACCGTACAATTAAATAAATTTTTTTTTCCCTCATAATCAAATAAAAAAATCTCTGATCACAATTTTAAGGTTGATGCATCAATGACAGAAAGCAATTCAGAAAATAAAAATATGATTACTACAAACAATGTAAAAAATAATGTCACTGATGTAACTGATGCACTGCAGTTACGCGACAAGAAAGATCCCATCGATCTCATGGTCGATGATGCACCAAATGATGAAATAAGTATTTAAAACAGAGAAAATAAGGCTATTCATACAACTGACGTTGAATTAATTATCTAAGATACCTCACAATTATTGAAAAACAAAGAAAGTATTGATTATTGGGTTGAAAAAGGAAGCTTAGGAATTGAAAACTGTGATCCCAAGATATTAGATTCAAAGTCATTTATTCAAGGTAATAAAAAAAAATTCGAAAATGCAATTTGTCATTGTTTGAACAAACGATTAAAAACGGCAAGTCTGTCAAGCGATCGTAACTGTGTTTTTCTTTAATCACCAGGAAAGTTTATTGTTGTTATGACCGGACTTGTTTAGAGTATGGTCTTAACCGTTTTATTTTAGTGTCATTCGTGGATCTCTCAGGATTCAACTTATGAGCTTTATTTGTTCTTTTTAGTAAGTAAAAATTTTTATTTAAGTATGGATAATTTTAATCAATAGTTAATGTTTAACCCTTTTGTTAAAACAATTTAAAATAGTTATTCTTTTAAATACAATATATTCAAATTACTTCAACAAGGTTTTGGTGTTAATAATATTACTGATAAATAACATACATCTATCACTAATTTCTGTTACTGCTGCTTCGGAGTTCCCTAATGCTTCGTGCAATAATTTTCAGTAATTCCTTAAACTACACGAATGAGTTCGTGGCTGGTAAGATGTTGCGGTTTCTGCTTTTTCTGCTATCGCCGGAACCACTTTCGGTGGGCCTCCTTAGTTGTACCTCGCTCTTTAGCGTAGTCCGATACTGTTGATGTTCTCGAAATACACCCGAGTTGCCTCAACCAACACGTTATGCCTTACGTATATAAGATACTCGCGAGTCGTGGCAGTCGAAACTTTGGAGGACAGATGACAGACGTGAAAAGAGCAATTTTTCCTCTTGATGGTGCGTTTTTATAGCGTCAGAGCGAGTAAAAGGTTTGGTTGAATTGGGTCAATCAATGAGCGATGCTCTTACTGCGTTGACAGCAAAACAGTAGGCTTGCACGATGATGTTACAAGTTATGACTTCATATATTAGGAAATAGCAATACAACAGTACCAATCGCATTTTTCTGACAAGTGCCAAATACAAGTTCAAGTGTGACATTAAGTTTACAAATTTCGCAATTAATCCTTTTGGGAATTTTAGAATCAATTTTGAGTATAATATAATAATGTGTTAATTACAGATTTTTAATTGGTATACATTATTAGAAATGGACATTCAATGAGCAAGTAAGCTACTCATTCTTATACATACGATACGATTTATGCATTTATACATGTTGCGTACAATTTTAACACATACATGCATTCTTACAACGAGGCTGGCCGTACTGGTCTATATGTCAGCATATTATGAAACGTTCACATCAAAACTAATATGCACACACGCATATAAGTGATGTATGAGCTCCACTTGTCATATGAGGTTACTGTGTGTAAACAATACATCTTGTATGAATTTTACAGATGAATTGCGTTTTTACTTACAATATAATTCGTCTGTATCAACCCGGGATGTAACATTGTTTTTACTGTGAACTTTATAGTTCATTAAAATCGAGATTTACGCAGGAAGGCTTCTCTGATTGGAAAAACACGAGGAAAAACACCTATAATCGGTTAAGCGAGCACCAACAATCTCAAGCTCATTCAAAAGCTTTTTATAATTAGAAGATAAGAGCTTCACCAATCGGACTGATTGAATGTAATCTTCTAAAATGGATCAAATACGAAAAAAATTATCGGAAAATTTTTTTCAAGAGTGATTAGCGTCATTATATTTTTGGCAGAAAAAAATTTACCATTTAGAGGGGAAAAGGAAATGATAGGAGTACTCAATAATGGTAATTTTCTATAGGCTATCGAATTACTTGCGTCTTACGATGACTTTTTAAAAGCTCACACACTAAAATATGCCTAAAGTCAAAAAAGGAGTGTAAATTATCTTTCGCCTACAATATATGAAGAGTTGATCGAGATCATCAATAAACGCTTACTGAACACTATAGTCGAAAATATTACAAACGTTGACCAATTGTGCTTAATTATTCGATACATCGAAAACGACCAACCTACTGAGAAATTTTTAACGTTTCTTGCAAACAAGGGCCACAAAGCTCAAGATATGTTTAACGCTATGATATCCTTTTTTGAAACGTACAATATTGATCTAAAAGATTGCCGTGGCCAGTCTTACGACAATGCTTCCACAATGAGGAGTCGTTACAATGACCTGCAAATGCAAAGTATCGTGAAGCGTGAGAACAAATTAGCGTTATGGATATCTTGTTTCACTCATTCCTTAAATTTGGTTGGTACTGTAACAACGAAATGTTGTTTAGAAACAAAGAACTTTTTCAATTCTCCAGAACTTATTTATGTACTTTTTATTAAATCTACAGAGCGTTACAAAATAATTTGTCAAAAATTAAATAAAAGTCATCAAAATAGTAAAGCTCGTACATGAGTACCAAAGAGAGTAAGCACTACAAAATGGGAATCTTGAGCAGAAGCAGTTCGAGCAATAACCCAAGGTGTATGAAACCGTTCTTCAAGAATTAGCTACAGAAAATGACGAGGCGAAAGGACTTCTAAATTTTTTAGTACAATTAGAAACTTGTGTGCAAATTTTTTTTAGGATGAAATATTAGATAGAGTAAATAAAACTAGCTTGAAACTACAAAGTTTAAAATCAGATCTTAATACAGCGATCGCACTTTTGAAATCCTTAAAGTCTTACATTCAGTCCATAAGAAGTCAGATTGCGAAATATGAATCTTTAGGCAGACAAATATCTGAATTTGACCAGTATGATTTCGAATGGGTACGAAAAATGAGTGTGTGTATTAAAAATTTGGATTACCTTCAATCTGAAGATGTTCAGTTTTCTGGTTCACAAAAATTTAAAATTGAGTGTTACATCACTATTAAAGTGAAGATCATTACAGCATTATCTCAAAGAATTGATGCTTATAATGAAGATGAGAGCTATTTATGATTTTAAAGACAAATACATTCTGTGTCCTGACAAAATTAGACAGCATGCATTAAAATTGTTAGAGATGTATGACAATGGTTTAGAAGAAAACTTAATAAATGAACTAATACAGGTTAAAGATTTTTCAAAAAAAATTATTGCTACAAGCAAAGAAGAAAAAGACGAAATATGTATGGAGCTTAAAATGTACAAAATGATTATAGATAATAATTTACAAAGAGTGTTTTCTAATGTTTGCATATTATTAAATATATATTTTGTCCTACTTACAACAAATTGTATGGATAAAAGAGATTTTTCAAAACTAAAAATTGAAAACAATCACTTGAGGACTTCCATGGAGCAAAGTCGTTTGATCAATGTTTCTCTTATGAGCATTGGAAGTGACCTTTTAAGAAAAATTGATTTTAATGTAATTATAAACGATTTTGCTGAACGAAAAGCTCGTAAAATACTACTATAACAATATGTATCAATAAAAAATACTAATTAGAATAAAGTAGTATTAGAAAGATAAATTATTTAGCTTAAAATTCGTTTTGAGTTTTTCAGTGTTTTTCTTTTTAGTCATCTTCATTACCGTGAGTGTATTGTTGGTATGCAAGTTCAAATACTCGCCTTGCATGTGAAAAGTTATCTAAAAAGTTGTAAACAAACTAAGCAGGTGAAATATTGATTTCCCATAACAGATTAACTATAACTTGACCCAGCATGATCCCAGACACTTCAAATGAAGCATACAGACTCTCATAATAATTAATTATTATCACTTAGTATCGCTAATTGGCAAAAATGTGCTAATAATGTACCAATGATTGAGTATGCATGTTAAATTTTAAGTGTCTTGGATCATGCTGGACCAAGTTACAGCCTATTTACCACAGAAAATCGATATTTCACCTGTTCAATTCGTTTGTAACATTTTAAATAACTTTTTAAGCTTGTCGGCAAAAATATGTGCTAAAAGAGTATGTATGTATAATAACTCGCGTTCTAATAATAATAGACGGCTGAAATTTAAATATGTTGTTATAATTACGATCGTAAGACTACGGTTACATTTTCAGGTCGAAATATTGTAAAGCTTTGCAAACCGTTGACATTTGCAAAAAGAGGTCTTTTTTCAATGTGACTGCGAGGGGTAAGAGAATATAGAAATATCCATTTATATATTCTTTGGAGGTGAAAAATTTTGAAAAAGGTTATAATTTCAGTTCCTATGTATTAAAGAAGAGTTAAACTGACAACATCTAAATTTACAGATTGTTTGATAAATCCACCTTTGTTTAATCAATTAATAAATACCGTTTTTTTAGGCATGAGCAGTGGCAGCACATCGTCACCGTAGACCAATCAACAGAGCTCTGAAATAGGATTGGTGCTCCACGGATGCTTTTTTAAATGTTATCCGTAATTTGGGTCGCTAATGTTAAGGAAACATGCAATAAATCATTATTACATAATCAAAATGTTACTTACGACTGCATTTGTGCTGGTTTACGAGTAACGTTACAAACTCGGTATTTTCTTCTCATAGTTCCGCAATGCGTGATTTCAATTTTAAGTCCTTTAATTTCTTTAGTAAACTTTACACGCTGAGAATCTGTTAATGGTTTTCTTTGCTCATTTATATCACGTATATCAAGAACCTCACACATAAATTCTATAACAGGTTGTGCTTTATAAAATGCAGTGGCAGATACTAAAGTAAAAAATAAGAAGGTTAAGTAGATGTTTGAAGACTTACATTAAAATTGTTAGGGCTTACCATCAATATTCAACATCATTTTCCACTGAGAAGGTCTAACAGACTGATGAAAACCAAACCAAACTTCTCTTCCACCACCTAGAGGATGGTAATATCCATCTGGACTACTAAAAAATGATCTACCAACAGGTGTATAAGTCATAGAAGGAAGATGCCTCATCACAACATCTAGAGCTAAGATGGCATCATAGGGAATTTGTCTGGTTCGTCCTTCCAATGCTTCTTCCAAAGCAAATAAAGAAACCTGAGCTACCCATTTGATAACGACTCTGAATATTCTATCTTTGCCTTCTCCAGGCAATATCACCTGAAATCGGTTTTGAATATTTTTTTAAACTGACGTTGAATTATTTTAAAATAGATATCTTACCTCTAATTCCAGTTTATCTGTCCCAATAGGCAAGGGATCTCGGGTATATAGATTACTTCTACCATCAAAAACAGGTTTCAGTGATCCAAATATTTTAGTATAAGCACGAACCATAGTCTCAATAATTTCACGATTAACTTTACGAGGACATTTATCAGGCTGAATATTAATATCATAATGATGAACATATCCCCGTGGCATTGTTATTTGAAAATGATTAGCTCTCAACCCAATTATACGACCTTCTCTGCCAATATTGGGTCTTCTTGGACAAGTAAATACTAAATAAATAAAACAGTATCATGATTAGAGACAAATTCAGCAAACAAAAATAATATTAAACAAGCCTTTGATACTCACTTGGGACATCCACTGGTTGAGGAGGTGTGTGGGTTTGCTGAGCTGGAAGTATACCAATAGTGTTTGTTGTGACATTACCTCCACTATTAGCTGTGGCTCCAACAGAAGTGTTTGTTGTAGGCCCAGGTGGAGGAGCTGAAGTTCAAATATGTTGTATCATTTAATTTACGAAATGTATTTGAGGGGCCATTAATTAACTCCATTAAAAAAAAATTAATGAATAAAATCGATCAGGAAAATATTTGTTTTACATAAAATAATAAGATCAAATGTCGATGTACATCTGATATGACAAAGAAGGAAAGGATGATGAACAGCTTCTTAACACTGTTCCGTAACTTATTCTCGACTACATGAACACTGTAGAGTAAATAAATTAAAGATTATCACTAACACTAAATTGTCAATACGTACGTGGTGCTACAGGATACATCTTCACGTCTTCAGAAATGAAAACAATAAGTGCGCAGATAGTTACAACTAAATACTAATTTTGTAATTCATGTAATCACACTGAATTTTAAGTAGTTACAAGTAAGTTTAAAATTAATCAATTCAATCCCATCGATCTTCCGTATCTCCTTGATTTATTAGCTTATACCTATCAATAAATGATATTCATCACCACACTCATATTTTTGTGACAGAGATTTGAAGTACATACAATATAGAACTACATTGAGTTGGATTCGGCAGTTATAAAGATAAATTATGTCCAATTTTTGAGTACGTGATATTTTGACTTGGCCAAATATTCTATTTTTTTCAAGTTCCAAACAACGGATGAAGGAGCCTTTTGCCTCGGCCACGGCCTCGGCTAACAAAAATCGCTACCTACACAATGTCACAATCTCATGCAGAATAATTATCGGCGCTAGTAGTGCTAGAGTGTTACCCGAGTAGAAATTGAAAGTGGGCGGCCCAGCTTTAACGCGTGATCAAAATCAAGCAAACAAGCCTGGCCGCAGGTAGGTTTGTAATACGGCGATGACTTGGGCGCAGCTTGGCCTGACTTGGCATAAGCGCATAAGGGACATATTTGCTGTGTGCATAATATCGGAACAGCGCCATCATCAGAACTAAACGATGGATTGTGCATGACATTAGTATACCTATATATTCAACTGATGTATACAGTCGTACATATATAGATATACTAACACCACGCACAATCTTTCATTTAGGGTGCAGTCCCATGGAACGAAATAGAGCTCCGCAATAGACTGTCCGCAATAGAAACAGCCAATCAGAGCTGTTTGAGCTATTGCGGACAATCGAGCAGTTGCGGGTTTCGAACGTTTTTACATTTTAGCATGCAACTGTCAGAAAGCTTTGAGGTGATGTAAGGTATTACTTTACTAAGAGAACGAGACCAAACCAAAAGTTCGAACAAATCTAAAATGAAATGAGTGGAGCTCCTAACAATAATGCAGCATTATGTAAAAGCGTAAGTTGTATTCTTTTTGCCTTAAATTTTGATAACCTATTTCTCGAGTAGTTCATTTAAGTTTTCATTTTAGTATTATAAATGCAAGCATTTTAATTGAATGCTTCCCAAAGACAATGTTAGACATTTCACACTCAGCTCCAAAACATACCAACAAAAACAAACAATCACCGTTGATCAGCTGGTTATGTCATTCTATTTCGGAGAGACAAAGTTCGATAATGTGCAGGAACGACCGATGCGTAACTCATTCACGCCCGTAAGTGCAAATGAGAAAGAGATACTTGGAATCTCTCACTCGCACTCACGGGCCTGCATGGGTTACGCATCGGTCTTTCCTGCACATGGGACCATAGCGAACTTTGCCACTCCAAAATAGAAACGTCTGCATTAGCTCTGATTAGCTGTTTTTATTGCGGACAGTCTATTGCGGAGCTCTGTTTCGTATCATGGGACTGCACCCTTAGTTACGATGAGGGGGCTGTTCCAATGTTATGCACACAGCGAATAGTTAAAGCAATGATGCGTAATTTTAGCATCAGCAAAATAACCGGATGACACTTAGTAACATTACAGTAGAAGCGATTTTCAACCTTTCGTCTACTTTAACTAATACTCCCCATTGGTCAAGAACCGAGAAATGGGGCGATGAAAAAAAAATTTTTTTTACTTGTTAACCGAACCAAACTACGGTTCACAGAAAAACTACACCTAACGTATGTTACACAATTTATGCCAGCCAAAAAATATTGACTGATTATAACAAGGAATTATTTTTAAAAAAAATTTAGAAAAATTAAAAAAAATTTTTTTTTAAATAATTCCGTGTTTTAAATCAGCCCGTACGTTCTGGCTGCCAATTTTGTAATATACGTTAGATGCAACCTTTTTGATAATTGTAGTTTGGTTTGGTTAACAAGCAAAAAAAAATTTTTTTTTATTGACCCATATCTCGGTTCTTGATCAATGAGGAGCATTAGTTTAAAAGGTCGAAAGGTTTGAAATCGCTTCTACTGCAATGTTTTCAAGTGTCATACGGTTATTTTGCTAATACTATAATCACGCATCATTGCTCTAACTAATAAGGGTGCAATTACATGGAGGCGAATGAACGTACCGCACGTTTGGGAAAACGATGCGCGGTTATTTTTATTTAAAATACAAAAAGCCCGCCTTGCATGTTAAGATTTTTTTTTTCAATTATTTTAAATAGCTGAACGTATTTTTTTTTTTAGCTCCTCTTTCTATATCCGCTTCAATATTTTATTCGTGGCATTTAAAATAATTTTAAAAAAATGAATACCAACATGCAAGGCGGGCTTTTTGTATTTCAAATCAAAATAACTGCGCATCATTTTCCCGATCTTGCGGGACGTCCACCTTTAGCGAGCACGTTAGGCATGATCAGGAAGGGGGCCGGAGCCAGGAGCAGATGCGAGGCAAAATGAACAGACTGAATTGGTTGCAACCTTTATATTAATCATATAACCGTCTTAAACTCCTGTTATACGACAAAGATTTGCTTGATGAAGAAGGATTAACTTGGAAGTTATTATGAGAATGTTAAAATGCTTGGCACTTATGCTAGGCTCGGCGGAGAGGCCTTGCGCGCTGGCCAACTTGGCTCCACGAGCTCTCAAGCACAAGAGAGCGGCCGCTGCCTTCTTCTCCAACGCCACAGCTGAAGCAGTCCGTTGTCTTGAGGTTGAAGAGAGATGGGGACAGCTTGCACTGCGTGCGCATCAGTGAGTGAGCTTGCTCTAGAAGAGCTCTCGAGGTAAGAGCTTCTGCTTGCGTCTAGAAAATGACGCTGGGTGTTTCGGCTGGGTCGCCACATCCACTCCCCCCCCCCCAGTGACCAGCTTGGTCTTAGCTGGGAACGAGACATGACGAGAGCCCTTGCGAGCAACCGAGGGTGGGCCAGATCGTGCGGCCCGGGACTCAGTTTGTTGAGCGGCCTGTGGAGATGAGACAGCAGGTGCTGGTTGAGCCTGTTGCACTGTGGTGATGGGCTCAAGGATTTTTGCTGTAGTACTGCTGTGTCCCTCCGTCTCCAGGTAGGCTGGCTTGAGCTGATCAACCGATACCTCCTTACGTGATCCCGCATGCTCAATGATGTAGGTGCGGTGGTCAGTGCGACTGAGGACCTTGTGAGGGCCCGAGTATGGTGGTTCCAGAGGCTTGCGGATGCTGTCGAAATGCAAGAAAACGTGCGAGCACGTCTTCATGTCTCTGAAACTGAAAGGATGGTTTGTCAAATGTCTCGAAGCAGGCACCGGTCTGAGCGATGCAAACAGCTGCTTGAGACTGTAGATGAAGTTGATGTGGTCCGCCTGTTAAGAGGATGTGACGAAGAATTGGCCCGGGAGACGGAGCGTGGTACCGAACACCATCTCCACGGGCGATGCCTCTAGATCTCCTTCACAGCAGAGCGCAGCCCCAGCAGCACCATGGGCAGGGCATCGATCCAAGCCTGTGGGCACCATGTGAGCGCCGCCTTGAGGGTGCGATGAAACCTCTCTACCATGCCATTTGCCTGGGGGTGGTATGATGTTGTGTGGCAGTGTTTGGCTCCAAGGGTGCGCGCCAGCTCGACGAACAAGGCCGACTCAAACTGGGCACCTCTGTCTGAAGTAATCAGCAGGGGCGTGCCGAAGAGGCTGACCCAGTTGTCGTGTAGCGCCCTGGCAACCGTCAAAGCCTGGATGTTTGGAAGTGGGACTGCCATGGGCCAGCGGAAGAAACAATCAATGATCGTAAAGCAGTATTGCATCCCCCGAACCAATGGCATCTTGATCAAGTCCACGTGAATGTGCTCGAAACGGTTGTCTGGCTCCTTGAAGCGCCCCAGAGCTTCCCCGTTGTGGCGCGACACCTTGGAGCGCTGGCAGGCCTCACAGTGCTTGGCCCAGAGCGTTGCATCCCTGCGAGCTCCTGGCCATGTGTACTCCCTGGTGAGCACCCTGGCTGTGGCCTTGGCGCCGGGATGAGCAAGACCGTGGACGACATCGAAATCCTGTCGACGTAGAGAGGCTGGCAGGTAAGGCCGGACCTCTCCCGTAGAGACGTCACAGTAGATGGAGTGTCCGGATACCTCCAACTGGACAAGCTGTGGTGAACCCTGGTTCTCGAGGAGTTGTTGTAACTGCTCGTCAGTAGCTTGAGCCTCCACGATTGCCTGAGTGTCCAAGATGGAAGGCATCGTGATGGTGGCAGTATCGACCTTGGATGCGTCAACTGCTGCACTGCTCTCCATGCCCGTGGTGTGCGCCTTCATCGTCCCGGTGGTGTGCTGGTCTGTTGAGCCAGTGAAGGAGTCCGCGCCGGCTGGCATAGGCTTGATGGATGTTTCGCCACAGGGCGCTCTGGAAAGGGCATCAATGACCAAGTTGTCCTGGCCCCGCGTGTGCTGAAATTTTGCATTGAATCGCAAGATGAATTCCAGCCACTGCGCTTGCCAAGGCGACGCCCTGTCCGATGTCCGATCGCTGCTGAGCCGCGCGAATGAGCGGCTTGTGGTCGGTGAAGATTGTGAATGTCCGTCCTTCAAGCATGCGCTCGAAGTGCTTGATGGCTTCATGGATGGCTAGCAGCTCTCTGTCGTAAGTGCTGTACTTACGCTGGGTGTCTGTTAGCTTCTGGGAGAAGAAATCCAGCGGTTCCCAAAATGGCATAGTCCAAGGCGTCGGCTCTGAGGGCCAACGGTGCACCCGGACGCAGGAAGACTGTGCATGCCACCTCCGCAATGCTATTTCGACAGCGCTGGAAGGCCTGCTCCGCCTCCAGGGTCCAGACGAGCTGTGCCTTCTTGGGAAGACCCTTTAGAAGCTCGTGCAGTGGGGCCTGGGCTTCAGCTGCATGCGGCACGCATCGCTGGTAGTAGTTCACCATCCCCAGGAAACGGCGCAACTCCGTGGCTGTGTTGGGCCTGGCGAAATTTTTGATCGCCTCGACCTTCGCCGGTGGAGGTTGGAAACCGTCCCCAGAGACCAGGTAGCCCAGGATGAGCACCTGGCGTTGGCCGATGGCATTCTTGGTTGCGTTGACCCTGAGCTTGGCAGCCCGCAGAGTGTCCAGCAGCTTCCGCAGGTGCCTAGATGTTCCTCGTGGCTCTGAGAGACGATCAGAAGATCATCCACATAGGCCTTGACGAACGGCAGGTCACGCAAGATGTGGTTGATGGTGCGCTGTGCCGACTGCGTGGCGTTTCGGAGACCCAGTGAGGTGCCTAAAAATTCATACAGACCAAAAGGTATCGTAACGGCTGTCTTCTCGACGTCCTCAGGAGCAATCGGGATCTGGTAGAAAGCTTTCTGGGGGTCAATCGCCGAGAAGACGTTGCCCCGACTCTCCTGCAGCAGATCTTTGATCATGGGCAGCGGATAGCGGTCGGGGATGGTGCAGGCATTGAGTCGCCTATAATCCCCCGTGACG